CTCCACTGTCGACTTTGTCGAGCTGGGCTTATCATATGAGTGATTGTCCGTCGTTCGTGTCAATGTTTTACTTTTTCGACTTCTTCTTGAAAACTACAAGCCTGAATGCTTTGATACTTGGTGTATGTGTACCTTGGGTAGACCTCTCTTAGATTTGTTCATTTCATGATGATATCTTCAATTCTCTAATTTTGGTGAATATTTTTGTTAGTTTTGGTAAAAAGTGATATTTTCAACTTCTTGTTAAAAACCCCAAGTCCAATTGCTTTTTTATTACATATGTAGGTACTACATGTGGACCTTTCTCAGATTTGTTCATTTTGTAATGATATCTTTAATTCTCTAATTTTGGTGAATATTTTTGTCATTTTTGGTAAAAAGTGATATTTTCGACTTCTTGTGAAAAACCTCAAGTCCAATTGCTTTGATATTACATATATAGGTACTACATGTGGACCTTTCTCAGATTTGTTCATTTCATGATAATATCTTCAATTCTCTAATTTTGGTAAAAAGTGATATTTTCCACTTCTAGTTGAAAACCTCAAGTCTGATTGTTTTGATACTATACATATTGTTCATTTTCTAATGATATCTTCTGTTCTTTAATTGAAATGTGCATTGCTAACAGCGGAGCTATCTCAGCCGAGAGGCTGCTTGTCAGTTGTTTCATTGATACATGTACATGTATCTGGTACATAGATGCTCTGGAACAATGCACATACCTGATTAGTTTTGAGTTATAATCTGTGCATATTTTTTACCTAATTTACATAATAATTAGACGATTTTTAGTTTTTTCATTGATATCATCACATTTCAATGAAACAGGACAATGTAATTTTGTTCTGTGCATATTAATTTGCTAATTTGCATAATTATTGGTCAATTTCCAGCTTTTTCATCGATATTCCAAGAATAAATCATTACATTTTACTGAAACTTAGTACGTACATAGGTGTCTGGGGACAATGTGAAAGACCTGATTCAGTTTGAAATTGAAATCATGTTGATTTTTTGCAAATAATATAACTTTGTTTTCAAATAGCAAACCTGTATTAGTCTCCTTCTTGTTCAAAATGTTAATCTTAAATTTTGAATTAATTTTAAAAATTCCCAATTCATTTTAAACTACATGTATATTACTACTTTATGATGAAAACGTATTTTCGTGTCTTCATGATCTCTTAATATTGGGAGATAACAGATGTTTAATATACATATTATTAGATTTGTATTTGCATATATTTATAATTGTAATATTTATGATTTATAGGTCAGAAGGTTGAAGGACCACTTAGTGGCAAAAGTCCCCTGCCCTGGGAGGTGTCTGTGAAACCAGACAACATGTTCGAAAACCAAGTCAAGAGGGTGGAGGTCCCATACACGGCATGTGTGAAATCTTGCTATGTATGTAATGCTACTGGTTACAATCGATGCTATAAATGTCTGGGAAGAGGCCGGGTAAGTGAATCACTGTTACAGTACATTGTTAGTGGGTAATAACAAATTTTAACATTTGAGAATTTATTTATTTATTTGTTTTATTTTAAATGCAGAACTCTAAATACAGAGATACAAATAATTCCCCTTTGCAACTTTGTCATTGCTGGTTATTTGTCCCTGTTCGAATGTGCTAAAAATCATAAAAAAATCAAGCATTTCCGGCATTCCAGAACTGGATCTTGGTTTATGGAAGATTTTGTTCAAACTTGGTACATACGTTGGAAATGATGGGACCATGATGCACATCCTGTTATTTTTCTGATCCAATTTAAAATGGCCGACTTGTGGCCATTTTGTTTTAATGAATGCAATTCTAGTGCCATAACTCTGCCATTTTTTGACTGATTATGTTCAAATTTTATATATTCATTATACATCATGACATAGATATATTGGTTTCACTATCTGATTCAAAATGGCCAAATGGCAGCCATTTTTGTGCTAAAAAATCACACATTAGAGATCATGGGTCTCTGATGCACGTCATTTTAATTTTCAGATCGGATTCACAATGGCTGACTGGCGGCCATTTTGTTTAAATGAATGCACTTCTAGAACCATATCTCTGATATGCTTCGACTGATTATGATTTACCCCCCCGGTATATAATTCGTTTCACATCATGTTATATATATATATATATAGATGTATTCAAAATGGCTGACTGGTGGCCATTTTGTTTTAATTGCTGTTCCAGAGCAATATTTCTCATTATATTATAGCATTATCAATACCAGTGGATTTTATGACGTCATTGCAGCAGATTATTAGCGATAATGTATTACATTATTGAGCATCAAGGCCCTGTCCCATGGATATGAATACAATGTTGATTTCGAAAACGAATAAAGAAGAAACTATTGAAAAAGAAGAGAAATTGTTAGATAACAAGTATTTAATACCAAAATCGGCATCAAATAAAATGGCCCATAACCAATAACAGCGGATAGACAATATTTTGAAGGCACTGTCGTCTGCTCTGTACACTAATGCGCGTTCTGTCGAAGCGTTCCATCTAGTACGTGCGCTTCTATATTCCGCGAAACGAGATCGACGAAAGACCGACGTGACTTGTATTTCCTCGGCATCAACTCCGGGTAAATGTAACAGTCCGGGCACAGTTTGTATAAATAAATGAAAGTATCCGTGTTTTCAGGTGTGTATCTGTTTATTTTATACAGTGAGATTAAAATCACTGTTGGTTCTTCTTCTAGGATGGCTAACACCCACTAGCTTTCTGGTCATGTTCGTTCGCCCGCTACATTACGCTTGGCTTCAAAGTATTCGTCAAATCCCCGCCCTCTTGTGGAATTTAAAATAACTATTACACAGAAAGGACAGTTGTCAATAATATCTACCGGTACCTTGATTGTTTGAAAACACTAGTGAGATGGGGTAACGATGCAACTATGTACATGTACCCCGGGTACGCACAGTTGATCCAGCTGGACCCCGGCGGTGATCTTGCGTAGTGTAGTGCAAGCCGCGGTGGACACCGATATGACATACCAGTCACGGTATGCCGTTAGCGTGGGCGATCACTGTAATGCTACTCCACACCACACATCAGTCACTCATTCACTCGCAATGTAAATAAGTTCAATACAATAATATTTGTTCCTTTCTTAGTTTGCCATATGAGATTGTGGAAACAATTTCCAGAAAGACATTTTAAATTATTCAGATTCACGGGCCAGTGACTTTGAAACTATTCCGCTCACTGTAGATTTTTCTCCAAATTTTTACGCTTTTTAGAGGCAGCAAATCCACTTGTAATGACAATGCTACAAAATAATAACAATAATGAACTCCCCGACAACCCATAATGGACTCAAGCACACTTTGTGCTCCATATATGTACTCGGCTCACGCCTCATACATATATGTCGCACAAAAATGAGCTTTCACCCATTATGGGTTGGCGGGTCGTTCATTATTGTTTAAATATGGACAAGTACTTGTTTGATGATCAGATACAAAATTTCAATCATGTTTATGTTTCAACTTTATTACTATAAACAAAAATATATAAATTTGATAACTAACTGGGACTGTGCCATGCATAGCTTGTTTTTTGTAAAACATAAAATCATTATTGACAATTCTTTAAATCATAATTCATTTTTTTCTGCAAAAGTGGTTTTGCTTCAAATAAACAGTAATTTTTTATTATCTCTGATACTATCAACAAATAACCTCAAAATACTATTATATTTTGGAATTAATATATTTTATCATTATTAATATACCAATAAAAGAATTTTATAAACATAAAATTTACTTAATGATACTATAATGTGATTGATGGTACCATCACGGAATTGATAATTAATTTGCAGAATACAAAATGT